TTGACATTTGTTCAGTATTTTTTGTGTGCAAGAGTTACATAACATCACGCCTTTAATCCCCGAAGGGGTAGGCACGAGCACATTATGGTATTTAATACCACTGAACAATGTAACAAGCACTTTTCAATATTTCCATTACATTTACTATTTACATACATAGATACATCCTTAATCCTCACAAACATTCATCATTTATTTATTTATTTATACATTTGGAAAACCAACAGCTATACAATTTGATTAAATAGAATGTGGTATGTAACAAGAAGCCAATTATAGTAACGGAGAGTAGAAACATGCCAATACAGTACTAAAATTACTTATTAAACCTATCATCATCAGCCTATAAATGCCCACTGCTGAGCAAAGCCCCTTCTCTCACGGAGAAGAAATGAGCATTGCTCAATGCGGGTTGGCGATTACAAACTTATAATTAGAAATTATAAGCTCAGGTTTCCTCACGATGTTTATGATAACTTCACCGTTTGTCTGTGGTATCTAAATAAAAGAAATTATCTTCGCATTTATAAAAAAAGAAGGATTGATTTATACTAGCTTCTGCGGACGGCATCGTCTGTATTCTTGTAGGACAATAAGTAGCCTATGTGTTATTCCAGACTATAATCTACAACTGTTCCAAATTTAATCTCGATCGCTTCAGCCGTTTTGACGTGACGAGTAATGACCATATACACAAACTCACATACTTTCTCATTTATAATATTAATAAGAAGTAAGAGGTAAAATATAACCTACCTTTCAGTTTTTTGTAGCGAGTTTTCACCATTTTATAAAAACTTTTTAATATTGAATACACAACTACACTGTGATATGCAACTTTGAGAACGCATGGAAAATGAAACCGTTACTACCCGCCATTTTGAGTTTTCGATTGGACGTATTGGAATTTGACAGCAAAGAAAAAACATCTACCCGCATTATTTGATTCTTTAATGAAGTTTTCAAGTTTGAATACTTGGTTTTTAGCTTGCGTAAAATATGCATTTTAAACATTATAAATGAAGTGTTATTAACAGTTTTTTTAATGGGATAACCCGTCAAACAATCAGATGGATCACCTGATTGTTAGCAATCGGCGTCGCCCATGGACACCTGGGACACCAGAGCCGTAAGAAAACAAGTGCGCTTCCAACTTTTTGGGGATGTTTGTCCATGCCTGGTGGCGAATAAATTATTTTTCTTCCTTTTTTCTTTCTAATGAGAGATATAAAACTCATTTTTTCTCAAACCACCTTGGCTTCAATTAATCGTTTTGTAAGCAATGTGTGTATGATTTTCCTGCATGTTACCAGAAAGTGATTATAAACCGCTACCTTAATTAAACACAGTACTAGTAAGTACATTTGCGGTATTCCCCGTTTTCCTTGAAATAAATATTAAGACTGCATGGTTGCTTCTTGAGTCTTAACTAATATTACAAATCAGAAATGATATTTGTTTGTCTTTTACAGAGCGTTTCTATCGGTCCTACAAAGTATTATTGACAATGTTTCCTTAAGGCATCGAGCATATCTTTCTTTATTAAAACAAAGAGTTTCTTGTATAGATGCACTATTGTTACGAGCACCATGTTAGACTATAAGATTATTTTTTGTTTTGTTTTTCGTATTAAGAATTATAATTAGTATAATGCGTCAAGCGTGTCTTTGCATTGTTCTCACATATACGTGTACTGTACAGTATTGGAATATACCTATATCAGACATCGTAAAACATACTTTTTTAAAACAGTAACGAAAACAATTTATTTCTCGTTCTTCTCCATTCAAATGTACGTTTTGGAATGAGCGCTTTTTTGTTTTTTGGAGGGGGGAAAATCATCCAATGACTTCGCCCGCCTAGGGTTGGCGAGAGGGAGTGTCAGACTCTTACTGACTAAAAACCACCCCATTCCTTCTGCTGCTCTTTGTGCCGGAGCCCAACTACAACAGCAACTAGCTTCACTGACGGGCTGGCTGACAGACTATTTTTATTTTGTATTTGTTGACGTTTCAAAAGTACCAAATTGTGGTTTAATTGAAATAAATGCTTTGACTTTGAATTGCCATTTTCGAAAACTTTCAATAATCAGTTAATTTTTATTAGCTGTAGAAAAAAAAATTCACATTTGTCAGTTATTAGTATGGAAGAATGTTAAGTTATTCCTCAGTTACAATTTATCTGGCATTCGAAAAATCGGCCCTAAGACAAGAAAAAGGAAGATCTTCCGACCAGGTGACTTTTCTGCCCAACAGTTGTTTGTTGGAATTTCTATCCATGTTTATTTGCATAGAAACTTCATGGTTTTGTGTCCTCATCCATTGATTTGCTCGTCTATCTTCTAAGTGCGTAAGCGCAGGCCTGCGGACGGCGAGCATGGGTGGCACACCGTCCGACCAGAAACAGACCCGAGCGTACGGCACCAAGCGTTCCGCGCGCGCCTCAAAGATCACCACGGATGGGGCCCAACAGGGCTGATGCCGATTCGGATTCGCGGAGAACCTAACGGGTTACCGGGGCTCCGGCTCGACGTACAGGAGTAGGAACGGGGTGGTTTTTAGTCAGTAAGAGTCTGACACTCCCTCTCGCCTCACCCAGGCGGGAGCAGACACTCGATTATTTTCCCCCCTTAAAAAAAATCCTCTAAGTGCGTCTTCTGTCATCATATGCCATTTGTCGTGTGTCACGACTTGAGTATCCTTTATCATATCCAAGTACAGTTTTATTAAAAATTTATACAAATACATGAGTAATTGATTGATTGATTGATTTTTCAAGTTCTTTATTAATATTAAATATGATTACAATCACTGTTTACAAACGATCTTATTCTATTTGTAGACTTACCATAATTTATTTCGTTACACAGGCTGTACCGCCTTTATAAACATTAGAACATATTGTTATTAAATTTTAATTTTACACTGATATTAACTTGAATAATATTGAATAAGTAAGTGGTATGTGAAAGTCTTAGAATGGACCCACATAATATTTAAAATATATAAGTTACAAATCGCAAGCTGTTATAAAAATCTGCAACTATTATAACAAATGTGAGGTAAGTTGCGGGTGGTTCCACAAAAAA